GAATACGAATAAATATTTGTTGAATGAATGGATGTCACAGTGGGAAGACCTCAGCTTCCACCTTCGCTGGAAAACCTTTCCCAATAACTTTATCCGTTTATTAACTGATTAATTTACAAGAGCACTGAAGAAGAGTCAAGAAACTCGGGTTTCCGTCAGCTCCAAACCTCTAACCTTGGGCTCGAAGTCAATCTCTCTGTTGGGAAAGTGGTTAATATCTAATATCCGTTGAACCTACTCTGCACGGGAGTTAAAGGATCAAAGGAGACTAAAGAGTGTGAAAGTGCTTTGCAAAGCACACGACGACACACATGCAAGGGGTCCTTACTATCTTGGTTACAGGAAGACCTCATGTGTACAGAGATCTCTTATCTGGTTATCTCAGCTCTCACAACAGAGAACCCAGAAGAAAAAGTATCTCAGTCTCAGGCAACCGACTCCCTAAGGTCACGTACCTAGCCCAGCAGAATCCTCCAGATCCTTCCGCAATGCCTTTTCGCTCTCTCTTTACCCCAAATTCTAATGAGTTTGTTTTTCTGTGTCCTAAATAGCACAGCAAACCTTGAAATAGCAAAACTCAGGGAGGGAGGTCACCAGAGTCAAGAATTCAAAAACATCAGAGACTGTGGGGCAAACAGCCCTAATAATACTTAGGTAATCCTTGAGGAAACTTGGATAACCTTGTATTCTCAAGGATAATCCTGAATCCTACAGAAAAGCTTACGTATGCCTTTCTAGAGAGACCATATGTTGATATATTCTATGTAAGAAAGCAGGGAATTTTAGAGAGACTTTAGAAAAATTTCTATATAAGAAGATGTTGCTGAGGACATGAAGTGCTACACCACTGACTGTATTCCCCTCTCACTTCGGTTCAAGGTCAAATTTGCAGCCCAACTGCAAAAGCTAGAGGGCCGTATGGTTTGCATATCTGTAGTCTATTTTTTTTTTTTTTTTTGTGGTACGCAGGCCTCTCACTGCTGTGGCCTCTCCCGCTGCGGAGCACAGGCTCCGGACGCGCAGGCTCAGCGGCCATGGCTCACGGGCCCAGCCGCTCCGCGGCACGTGGGATCTTCCCGGACCGGGTCACGAACCCGTGTCCCCTGCATCGGCAGGCGGACTCTCAACCACTGCGCCACCAGGGAAGCCCTGTAGTCTATTTTTTCCTCCTAGTTTCAACATTCTATTTTAATTTGTGCTTTTCCTGTTTCTTATTTCTTTATTTATTATTTATATTATGCTGTTTTATTGTTTTTCTTGTAAGTCACCTCAGAAATTTTGTGGAACAAGACGGGACTATAAATAAATCAATACATACATCTTGTATACGCAGCATAATGCTTTGCAAAGTAGGCATTCAAAACAATGTATTTTCTGCAAAGAAGAAAGTGACAATACCAGATAAACGGGAGTGATTCGGAATTATTATTATCTTTAGTTTTATTTTTCCATCTTCTATTTCTGATCTTTATCATCTTTTCCATCTTCTAATTTCCACTGTAATTGAGGACGATGAGAAAGGGAGTAAAGCTTTGTAAACTGGCCACAAAAGTAACGACCACATAAAAGGCAATTCCAAGGCTGAAGGATCAATGAAAATGCCTTGGAAAACAATTCCGCACACAGTCCTGTTCTTCCTTTTTCTTTTATTTTTATGAGGCAACCCTCCTCTGCAGGAAATCTAAGCCAATTCTAAGCCCATGTGTGTTTCTCTATAAAACCAGAGAGAAGGGCAATAAAATCAAAAGTTACCCATGGCTCAAAGGTCCGTATTATCCTGAGGCCTCACAATGTTATCACATTCCTCATTCTTTCTGATCTTCTAAGTAAGATGGTAAGTTGGCCAAAAAGCTTAAAGGGTCCTACTGTATTTTCCCAGGCGGAAGTCAAAGAACCTGAGAATCGGCCGTCAGCGTTCTCCTCTACTGGGAAGCAGAGTCCAGTCCCTTGTTAGGAGCTAGTAAACCATCAGCAACTACCGTGGAACCAACAGCCCATAAAGACAGCCAAACGCCACGCTGAGTTCCCTGCATCCCAAAGGCAGAGGAAAGAGGCTCGGAGGAGGGAACCCAGGTTCTAGACCCAGTTCTAACAGTGTCTCAGTATGCGGCTCTGGAGAAGACACCCCTCCTGTCTGTGCACCTCGGTAACTGGAGATGATAATTCCTGACATACCTGCCTTCCCGGGGAGTCACGAAGCTAACACTGGATAACTTACGATGATGTTTAGATGCATCCGTGGGAGCTGGCTGCTCTCAATCTGTGCTCCCCTTGCCCTCTGTACACTTCTAAGAGCATACCTGCCAGATGACCTCATAATTATCTGTTTACGTGTCTGTCCACCTGGTTACACTAAGAGCCCCGCAAGAACAGAAAGTAGGTCCAATTCATCCTGCCATCTCTCAGTTTCTAGAACATCATTTGACACACAGCAGGTGCTCAATAAATGTTTTCTGAATGTCAAAAAAGAAAGAAATTTTTGAAAACTACTCAACAACAAAATCCTTAAGATGTCTGACTTTGTGAGATCAGAAAACAAACAAACAAACAAACTGATCCTCAAAGGGAAAAAAAAACAGAGGGTCTCTAATGGCTTTTCAACAATCTGGAGGCTGTCCCTCACGACAAACTTTAGTTTTTAAGGACTTCCCAGTTTACAAAACAAACTAACAGTTTCCCATTTAATCTTTACAAAAACTCTCCAAGACACGTAATTCTTACCTAAAAGGGAAAACTGGGTTGGAGAGAAGTTAAGTCATTTGTCCACAAACACACATCACAGGGAACTCACCAGCTACTGCTATGACACTAGCCGGCTGAGCACGTTTAATTAATTCACTAAAGCAAATCGACTGAGTAGAACGTGCAGGGCAGCCAGCCGAGTGCACTGGGGGATAAAAGATGATCCAGACACATCTCAAGGACTGTCTCGGGGGTCTAAGCCACGGACACAGATAATCACCAAGAAAGACATCAGACTTGATGGGAGTTCCGAGGAGAGGGCATAAAGGGAGAACCTGGGGGACAGGGGTATTCGGTCTGGGGGTGGGCCCGGGTGAGACGTGGGGAAGGACATCCCAGCAAAGGGAACAGCAGGAATGAAACCAGAGAGGGCAGCAGTCACATTAACAGGAAGAAAGGCAGGAGAGATGGACAGGGTGAGAGAGGAATGAGATGGAAATGGGCACAGCCAGATGTTGATTTCAAGGTTGTGGGAATATATCAGTGGAGGTATCCAGCTGGTCGCTGGAAAGGCTGGTGTGCCATGGGGGAGAGAAGTGGGAAACAGAAATTCACAGCTGCACGTCTTCTGTACAAAGTGAGAGTCAGGAGGCCAAGGGAACGTGGAGAAGACAACCTTGAAAATGGGGGAGGAGGAAGAGAAAGCAAAGCAAGTGTGGTCCAGGAAGGAGAAGCAGGATCCTCCCTGGGTACAGTGACAGGGTCTGGAAGGACACAGGAAGACGAAGACGGAGGAAAAGGCCGTGCAACGCGGGCAGTATGCAGTCACCTGTGACACCCGAGGGAGCAGTCCAACCAAAGAGGGTGTGAGTGAATAAAAGGCAGATTACTGGAACCGAGGAGTGAACTGGACTCGAAGTGACGGTAAATTCCGGAACTTTGATAGAGGCCATGGGAAAATACAAACTACATCCTCAGACCTCTTGACGCCTCTGGTGGTCCTCGGTTACAAGTGCTCAAAGTGAGGGCTTCGGTCCATCCCGTGGGACTGAGGGGCCAGTGCATCGCCTCACTCAGAGTCTCGTCTCATCAGCTCCAGACAAACACCACCACATAGAAGATTTGATCTTTTAACACTGGAGTGGTATTTAAAATGTTGTCGTGCCATGAATACATCAAAGCAGAGTCACATACAGTCGCCCCCTTGAGAGGTCCCGCTCTGTTCTAATGATACTGTCACTACACTGCGCCTGCTCCGACTCCCTCTTCAACCCCTTCCCTCAGTCCTCAGGCAGCATATGGACCCCACATAAACTCTCCAACGTTAGCTATTATCACTGCCATCGTGGTTCCTGCTCCTCAGCTTGACGGCCTACTTTATTCCCTAGACTTGCCTCTAAATGACTCTTTTCAACTAAAAGCTGCCTCCAAAGCCCAAGGTTTGTCAGCCCAGGGTATGTTCTGAGTGATGAGTGACAGCGGCCCCTTTGGAAAGAGCATTCCACCTGCAGGGGGACCGTGTGGACGGGACACCGCGCGTGGACCTAAGCTCAGCGTGTCACCCCGCCTGCGTCCCCTCCACCACCCGTCAGCATCCGGACCGCCTGCCTTATACTGCAAGCTCCCAAACACTGCGGGTCCTGCTTCAAACACAAACACCCCCAGGTTCAAAAACCAAACCACAAGGCAAACAGGTTTAGCCAGACAGGTTTAGTGGTGACAAGGACGCTGCACTCAGAAGAGGTACCGTCAGACTGATTCACCCTCTCTGAGACTCAGCTTCTCTGACATCAAGTGAGGGGCTTGGACTAAAAGGCCTCTAAGATGCCTTTCTTCTTAAAAACAAACGAATTAGAAGCTGCCATGGGGCTTCCCTGGTGGCGCAGTGGTTGAGAGTCCGCCTGCCGATGCAGGGGACACAGGTTCGTGCCCCGGTCCGGGAAGATCCCACATGCCGCGGAGCGGCTGGGCCCGTGAGCCACGGCCGCTGAGCCTGCGCGTCCGGAGCCTGTGCTCCGCAATGGGAGAGGCCACAACAGTGAGAGGCCCGCGTACCGAAAAAGAAAAAAAAAAAGCTGCCATGATTTGGGTGGTTATTAAAACCTTATGGAGACTGTGAAGGGAGAGGAGCTGAATTTTCGGGATCAAGTGAAAGGTGTCAGCAAGGATCCAAGGAAAGGAGAGGGAGGACAGAGACCCGGGGTGAAGGTCAGGGGGCAGGCAGGGCGTCCCCTCCACGCGGGCGTCTGTTTGTCTTGTTCTCAGTCTCCCTGGCCCCCAGCCCCTGTCAGCACGGCCCCCGGGGGGAGGGTCCTCACCCATCATGTTGTTGGCTCGAGAGCAGGTGGTGCGCTTCAGGATCTCGTGTACCTAAAACAGATGACAGTTCAGCCATGAGCATCTGGGCCACATGGTGCGTCCCCAGCCCGGGGTGGGGGGGGGGATGGGCAGGCATGTGCCAAGCTCACGGACATTCCAACAAAGCATCTAACCCCTCTCGCACACACACCCCGTTTGCCACCCCCCCCCCCCCGCAAAATAAAGAAAAGCCTGTAAATTGACTGCAGTCACAGGAGGGAAGGGGAGCCCAGACTCACATCCCCCTGGAGGGCCCAGCAGGAAGCCGGGAGGGAAGGCGAGGGGGGGCGTGCCCGCCCCACCAGCCCCAACAGTGCCCTGCCGCTGAGGGGTCCTGAGCGAGCTCCCTGCAGGTCCTGAGGGCCCGCGGGCCCCCCTGCAATGGAGCTGTCTCTCAGAGCTGCTTTGGGGACCCATGAAAGCGCTTTGGCAACTAGAAAAGGGCCACCTACATCTTGGCCCTTGGTGCTATCGCTTCTCTGCTTTTCCCCCAAGTCCTTATCACGCCTCCCCAGTCAGAGCAGGTCCCACCCATCCTCAAGACTCCAGGTGTCACAGCACATCCTGGGCACACGGCAGGCTGCTGCTCGGTGACCGCTGCACCATCAACAGGTCAACAGCCCCGACTGCGGGGCCTGCAGGGACCCTGTCGCTCACTCGGGAGGGCGGGGTGCCGAGAGCACCCCAGCCAAGGAAGCAGGGACCCAGGGCAGAGTAAACCTGCAGGCCAACCTCCAAGGGGTCTCAAGCCTGCTCCCGGCTCCAGGAAGGAAATCGGCGTTGGGACAGACAGCTGGGCTGCCCAGACGCCCACGGGAAAGGGGGCACTGGGAGATGCAGGTGAGGTCCTCAGACCAAAGCCCAGGGCGGAGCAGACCCCAGAACAAAACCCAAGGCCCTTTTCTCCCCCCGTCACAATGTGCGGTGGACTGGGAAAAGGGCAGGAGGGGAAGGAAGAAGCTTCCAGAACGAGAAAAGATGTGTTACTCCATCATCATTCACACTCCCACGTTCCAGCCACAGACCTACAGGGAGTGGTAAGTAAATAACTTCCAGCAGAATGGGGTCCAAGAATGTTTAATTCACTTCTAATGCGGTATAGTATCCAACTGCAATAATAATTAGGAACAGCATTTATGTGGCAGCCTATTATTCTATAAGCACTTTGCAATTATCGGGTAATTTCCACAGTGCCTTATAACGTCCCCCCCAGTCGTGGGACCCAAGCTATGGGGAGACTTACAGCTTGTAACAGCATCAACTAAAACAATGGGAAGCTTATGCTTTTTTCTGTAGGAAGATAAAAGAAATCATATGCCCGTGTTAAATCTTCCTAGAACACTAGGCCAAGGGACCTGAGGTGTTTTCTTGCCCATCCTACAAGCAAAGAGTCAGGGCCGTGTTTTCAGCGTGACTTGGAAATGTTCTGTATCTTCCTCCAATCACCTGCCCCTTCGTACCCTTCTCATCACCCTGCTGACTTGGAAGTCCTCTAGGTATCTAAAGCTTATTCCTCCTCCTGTTGAAACTTAAGTTCTTTCCTAGGGATCAATGGAAGCACACTGCCATGTTTCCACTGTGGCCTAAGTGTCCAGCGTTCCTTGGGCCCCTTTTTCTCTCCCCTCTTCTGTCCATAGGCTGGATGCTCTCCAGGGGTGGAGGGGATAAATGGATCCGTGAACAGAGATGCCCTACAGCTCAGACTGGGGCCGCAGGGCCCAGGCCCTATGCAGATTTTCAGTGGAATCAACCATCCCGCAAAATCCAAAACCTTGACTGCAAAAGGCAAGAAGACAGTAGAAGAATGGCTACAGTGACAAACGCTGGCTTCCTATTGAATGGGCTGGCAATTTTGTCCTTGGACAAACTGCCCAGCTCCAGCATTCCCCGTGACAGCAACGCGCAGGACTTCTTTGGGAATGAAAGAAAGAAACTCAGCAGCCCAGCAATGAGCCCTCATTTGGACACAAAACGATCTGCCTGAATTTTTTTTCAATTCATTGCATCTCAGAGCCTCAGTTTCCTCAACTGTCAAGCAAGGGGGTCACCTGACTAGCTGAAAGTCCCCCCCCCCAGCTCTGACATTCCCTGCTTTTGTGATTCCAAGAAGGGCCTGGGTGGAGAACCATAAAGAGAAGACCCCCGTCTCAAGCCAAGAGTGAGAGGAGTTGTTGGCTATTTCGATACTGGGATTGGGAAGCTCCTGGACGCTCCTTCCAGTTGCTAGGCAACTCCAAGCAAAGGATGATGGGAGGCAGCAGGGAGGGCAAGAGATGTCCTGCCAAAGGGGATCCAGGCTTCCTCTCCCCCTCCCGAGCCCACCACACCTGGTTCAGCACCTGGTTAGCCGGTTTACTTACAATGCGGCTACGGGTAGCACTATCAAAGAAGGTGTCCTCGTCCTGAATGTTGTACCTGGCGACACCAAGAAAGCAGGTCAATTCATTTCATTATCCTTGTCCTGGGACTACTGTCACCCCAGGCCCAGAGCAAACCTCTAGAAAGCAACATAGCAAGATGTGTAAGCCACACACACACTCACAACATTTACACTCTTGCTGACCCAGTAATTCTGAAAACTTATCATAGAAATGTATCACTGGGAAAATTAATTCAGCGGAAAAAAAAGGTCCGTAAATGAAAATGTTCATTACAAACTTACTTATAACAAAGACTATGGAGCTAAGACGCAATTCCAAAACCTAAAGGATAGATTATCATATAGCCATTGAAAATTATAATTATGAAAACTTTAGAAATACTGTAGAAAAAGTTAGACTATCATAGAAAAACATTATACTGTGATGAGTTTTAAAAACGAAAGTATATAGAAAGGATTCCTGTGTGTGGACAAAGACAGTAAAAACACAACAACGGGGAACTCCCTGGCGGTCCAGTGGTTAGGACTCAGCACTGCCACTGCCGAGGGCCCAGGTTCAATCCCTGGTCAGGGAACTAAGATCCTGCAAGCCGCACGGCGTGGCTGGGAAAAAAAAAAAACAGAAAAACAAAACTCAACAACAGAAAAGAGTGCAGTTTCAGGATGTTGGGCTTATAACTTTTTCAAATTTTCATTTAATGTTGTCACTGTTGTCACAGCAATTAGATACCAAACTCCCAATTATGCAAGACCTGTGTCTGTTGTAAACTTCAAATGTTGACCTTTCACTCAAAAAAACACCTGTGTGGAATAAAGACGCAGACGCAGAGAATGGACTTGAGGACACGGGGAGGGGCAGGGGAAGCTGGGACGAAGTGAGAGTGGCATGGACATATATATACTATCAAATGTAAGGTAGATAGCTAGTGCGAAGCAGCCACATAGCACAGGGAGATCAGCTCGGTGCTCTGTGACCACCTAGAGGGGTGGGACAGGGAGGGTGGGAGGGAGGGAGACACAAGAGGGAAGAGATATGGGAACATATGTATAACTGATTCACTTTGTTACACAGCAGAAACTAACACACCGTTGTAAAGCAATTATACTCCAATAAAGATGTTAAAAAAAAACACCTGTGTGACTGTCCTTAGGGCACTGTGCTGGAGGGCACACAGACACCTGAACCATGCCCCCGGCCCCCTGGGAGCCCAGCCACTGGGGATGGGGGCGGGGGGTGTTTCCAAGCAATTGATGCAGAGGAGAACGTGGACACATGCAGACCATTGCTATGAAAACTCAGAGGATGGAGAGCATATTCTGGCCGGGGGTGAAGAACTGGCCTGGGGATCACAGGGGCTGAGCGAACGGAGCCGTGTGGGAGGTGGCCGGTCAGATGCCAGCGCCGGTGTGGAGACAGGGCCCAAGGAAGCGGGGATGTAGAGGAGGCTCAGAGTGCAAAAACAGCAGCCGGCCGGGAGGTCAACGTGCCAAGCCCAGTCCAGCCACTTAAGCTTTCATGACCTTGGACAGATCCTGGGCCTTGGTTTCCTCTCCATAATAGAGGGATAATTATATCTGGACGGCCGCTTCACAATGGGAGTGTGACACTGTGATTTATAATAAATATATATTTTGGTCTTTATCCCCTGTGCTCACAGCTTCCCAAGCCCTAGGAATTTTCTGAGCCATAAGAGCATCTTTTGTTATAGTATTTGGTCTCCTGCCCTCAGTTCCTGAAATTGCTTCAGAGCCATAAAGGTGACAGGAGTGTCATGTTATTCATAACAAGCCCCTTTCAACCACCAGTGAGTTTATGTTAATGAGGTGACGTTTGGAAAGCCGCTAAGGATAGGGCTGGTTGCCAGGGAAACCACCAGGAGTCAGGGTTGGAACTTTCAGTCCTACCCACTGATTTCCGGGGAGCAGAGCGGGACTGGAGGTTGGATCAGTCACCAATGGCCAATGATTTGATCAATCACGCCTATGGAATGAAACCTCCATAAAAATCCAAAAGGATGCAGTTTGAACAGCTTCTGGGTTGGTGAATCAAAACGTTTTCACGCTGAGCCCGAAACTCACGAGGACAGAAGCGCCGTTGTTCGGGACCTCGCCTTATGTATCTCTTCACCTGGCTGTTGACCTGTATCCTTTAACATCCTTTATAATAAACCGGTAATCCAGCGAGTAAACTGGTTTCCTGAGTTCTGTGAGCCACTCTAGCAAATTAGTCGAACGCAAGGAGGGGGTCGTGAGAACCTCTGACTTGTAGCCAGTCGGTCAGAAGCACAGGTCGCAACCTGGACTTGCTTAGGCATCTGAAGTGCGGGGCAGTCTTGTGACACTGAGCCCTCAGCCTGAGCAATCTGATGCTATTTCCAGGTAAACAGTGTCAGAACTGAGTTGAATTGTAGGGCACCCAGCTGGTGTCGGAGAATTTCTTGGTGGTGCGGGAAGACCCACACACACATTGGAACTGGTGACCAGAATTGGTACCAGAATCGTTAAGGGGTAAAAACTCAATGAGGGAGCACGTGCATGTGTACAAGATTGTTATCTAACACGGCAGAGGTGGGCAGAGATGGTACCCAATGAATGGCAGAAACACAGCCTACCGACACCACCTCCTCCAAAAGCACAGATCCTGTGTCTTGGCTTCTTTTCCAAGCCCATTCCTTTCCCTCTCTCACTCGATTCTCTTACCGCTCTTGAAAGTTTCTTATTTTATCATTAGCTCCTAAAACAGAAGTAGCGCTTGGCTTCTGCATCTCCCACTTCCCAACCACGACTCCCCCTTCCAAAGGCTTCCCAAAAGGCCATCTCTGAGAAGAAGACCTATTCCCTCCCCTCCTCTGGGTCAGTGAGGGCACGAGCTGGCAGCTGAGAAGACAGACGTCCAGAAGCTTCATCCACCGTCTCTCTGCATTATCACAATATCTTGAAACCCTGTTAGACTGGGAACACAGCAGAGTGGTTTCCCTGCAGAAGGTAAACAGGTATCGGACCACTTTGCTCACAGAGTCCCGAAGTTTCTGGCTGTCTGCTCCCTGATTCTCCATCCATCACACAAAGTGACTGAAATGGCAAGTTTTCCCAGAAGCCACAGCATGAACATTCAGGAGCTATCTGCGATCATCTCGCTCAGGGACAGGGATTGGGAAGGCAGACACACGGAGTATTCCACCCTGAGAGCAGGCTTCCTCCCCCATCTCCCAGGCACCCGGGCACTCGGCTCACGAGCTGAGGCCCCAAGTGGTGCTTGATGTCCCTTCCCATCCCCCACGCGGCCCCACCTCCAGAGTTCCAATACTCACAGGTACATTTTCTCCCTGGAGAACGGGTAGGAGAGGTTTTTCATCCTGTCGTTACTGTGCTCGGGCACTCGGGGCTTCAGGGGTGCGCTCAGCTTCTGCAGGATCTCGTTGAACGTCTTCGCGATGCTGCCTTCTGACTTGATCACGTACCTCTACGACGGCAAAGCCACAGGTGTGAGGAGGAGGCCTCGTCCAACGCTCAGAGGAGAAGGACCCACAGCCAGAGCTGCAGGGGGCTCAGATTCACCCCCATAGGGGACACTCTGGGGAGAGGACGAGACTGGGGAAGCCAGCAGGAGGGTCCTGCCCTTCCTCCCCTGCTTTCACAAGGTGGTGAACCCCCTCAACTGTTTGTGTGAATGGAGGTGACGAGTGCAGGGAAGGAGGAGTGCGGTGACGAGTGCAGACTTTCTATACATCTTTGTTATATCATCACAGAAGACCTACTGTGTGACCGTCACCATACTAAGGGCTTTACTCAAATGAGCTCCAATGCACACTGCACCCAGCCAGCTAGATAATATTACGGTCCTGTTATGATGAGGAAATTAAGGCTCAAAAAGGTGAGATGAGTCAACAAAGGTCACACAGATAGTAACTGGGCGACTGCTTGGATCTAACTCGTGTCAACCCAATCCCAAGTCTGTACTCTCCAACCAGACCACGCCCCTATGTGACGGTCCAGCATCACTTCTCTTGTGCTCTTCTTAGGAGACGTCTGATAAATGAGTCTGCTGTCAAAGTACTAGGCACCTAGCGAGTACCTGCCTCGAGTAAAGCGCTGCGTCAGTACCAAGATCATCACTGGTATTTATGGTACCTATGGTTTTTCATAACGTACAGAGTCGTCTGCATACACTATAGCTTCTGGTCTTTCTAATTTACGGATGCTGTCATTGAGACACAGAGGTTGTACTTGTCATAGCAAAGCTCTGGTGGATTAACAATGGCCACAGATTTTTTTTCTCCACACAAGTTCTCCATTCAAGAGGCGGCATCTCTGTTTCCACCCCCTTAAGTCTGGATGGGCTCTGGGGCTGCCTGCCCAGTGCAGCAGAAGGGACACTATGCCAGTTCCACCCTTTAAGAAGATGGGCAGCTTCTGGCTTGGTCTGCCTTGGTCTCTTGAAGCTCTGAGCCGCCGGCAGGAAGTCTGAGGAGACGTGCGGAGAGGACTCAGACAGGGAAAGGACGAGGTTGAGCCCAGCCTTCTGCCTACCCCGCCAAGCATCAGGCGTGTGAGGGAGGCTTTCCTGGACATTGCTGTCCAGCTCAACCCCAAGCCGAATACCACCACATGACCCCAGTCAACACCACGTGGAGAAGAATCACCCCGTCTAGCTCTGCTCAAGATACTGAGCAAAAATTCACGGGACAGAATAAAATGGCTGTGTCTTACTGAGTAAGCTGGGGTTAATTTGTCCTGCTGCAGTAGATGACCAGATAAGAGTCACAGCCAGACCCTCCGACTGGAAAGCCGGCTGTGTTCTCTATCAAGATATCCTTAAGATGCTTAAATCTAGAGCGGCTGTAAAACATGTACAAAACACTTGTAATATTGATGGAGAAAAATGCCACAAAAGACACTCAAAATGCTTTGAGGGCTCAGAGAAAGGAGACAGCACGTCCGGCTGAAGAATCAGAAAAGTGCTGCCTAAGGAGGGCAGCATTTCTGTTGGGCCTTGAACAGAAAGGGGACCTTCTTTTGTTTTTCTGTTCTTTAATAAAGTCATGATAATCAGTGGGAAGGGGGAGAACCTCCCCAATCTAACAACTGAAACACAAGCCCAGTTTATTTATCTCTTCTGATACACTTCTCTATGCCTTTTGACTTAATTTCAATCACAAAATTAACACAGTTCTAGTAAACAAAGAAACCAAAACCAGGGACTTCCCTGGCGATCCAGTGGTTAAGTCTCCACGCTTCCACTGCAGGGGGGGCACGGGTTCAATCCCTGGCCAGGGAACTAAGATCCCACGTGCCATGCGGTGTGGCCAAAAAAAAAAGAGACCAAAACCAAGAAGTATATTAACTAACATCAACAGCTTCCTTTCACGTCCGATCCCATCCCATCCTCCACTGCAGAGGAAATCTCCATTCACAATTTGGAGTATGTTTTATACTGACTCTCTCCATACGTATTATATGTAACTGAATCCCTTTCCAAACACACCTGTGATCATACTTCACAGGTACGATGGTATAATTCTACAATTTGCTTTTCTCGTTTAGCGATATATCCCGAGTACGTGTCTTTCCAAGTCAGTCCACGTAGAACTACCTTCATGAAGGCACCATATGACACAGTGGGTACGAGTTCTAATTTGTTTAGTCACTTCCCTAGTGATGGGCATTTATTTTAGCCTCTACATGTGTTTTATCTTCTTTGATCATACTTCTCTTAACCTCACCTTATACATACTTTTAATGAATCAGGCTCGAACAGGTATCAGCAAAGACATTCCAAGCCAACCAAAAAAGTTAAAAAGTTCAAGCTGGATTTAAGAAGGGTTCACAGCCTGGTTCTTTGGTGCTCGGGTTCTGATGGGGGAATGGTGACGGTTCACGGCAGAAAGGCACACGGAGACCAGTGCATGGAGATCCCACTGCACGAGGCGACGGGAAGTCAGCGAAGGGTGTGAACAAGAACAACATCAGAGCTGTGAATCAAGAAATTCATCAGGTGGGTTCTGCACAAAGAAGGAGCCAGCCTTCTGAACCGAGGGGACCGTTTACTTCTGGGAGCACAGACCATTTCTAAGCATCTCCTATGCACCTGGCTTGATGTACATCAGCACTGATCTTAAAGATGTGCCTCTAAAAACCGAGAGGGGTTGGGCTTCCCTGGTGGCGCAGTGGCTGAGAGTCCGCCTGCCGATGCAGGGGACACGGGTTCGTGCCCCACTCTGGGAAGATCCCACGTGCCGCGGAGCGGCTGGGCCCGTGAGCCGTGGCCGCTGAGCCTGCGCGTCCGGAGCCTGTGCTCCGCAACGGGAGAGGCCACGGCAGCGAGAGGCCCGCGTACCGCAAAAAGAAAAAACAACGAGAGGGGTTAAGAATCTCAGTCGAGATCACACAGAGAGTGTCAACCAGATAAGAAGTGCTGGAGCCTCGGAACCTCGTGGCAGAGCCTGCGACCTTGGCGCTTCACTCTACTCTTCCTCTGCCGCGACGTGAGTGAACATCGGGGGAAAACAGTGTGCACCTTACTCTACTGCCCCTACTGTTATAAAGCTCTTGACCCTCCTGCCATCGGTCACCTAGATGCAAAGAGCTCACCTCTGGGGCATCCTTGGGCCTGGAGGGACAGGGGCAGAAAGATGACCCGTTCACCGTATCCCAACACATCTCACAGGTCATTTAGGGTAGGTTCCAACCGGGCACGTGTCCTGCAGCGTGTTCACCATACCCGTAACCATGCGTCTTTAAAGGGCACGTGCGTGGCAATTCAAGTTTCAGAGCAGGAGGGAAGCTGACTGGCTCTGCATCCTAGATGCCTTGGAACGACAGACTTGGACCGACCGAGGGTGTTTCTCCTTTGTCCACTTTCCCCATGTCCACCTCTGGTTTCCTAGTCTAAGGAGGCTTCAACTACAGCAATAAGTGGCTTCCCACCTCTCTTGCTTAGGGCTGCCAGATTTAACAAGTAGAAATGCAAGAAGTCCGGTTAAATGTGCATTGGAGGTAAACAATAAATTTTAACTTTTAATGAAACAATTTTTTCATTAAAAAAGACAACCGGAGGGCAGACTCACATAAAAGAAATTATACTAGAGCCACAATCATTTTGTTGTCTAAGTATGTCCGCTGCAGTATTTAGGACATACTTAGGTTGACACTAAACAAAGTATTCATTGTTTATTTGAACTTTGGGTTTAACTAGGCACGCTGTATTTTATCTGGCAACCCCACTTTTGTCCACCTCTAATTTGGTCTCCACGTTGGAGCCAGAGTGAAGTTTCTGAAGCAAAAATCTGATCATGTCACCTCCCTGCGGAAAAGGCTTCAACCATCACCCATTGCTCTTATGATAAAAACCAAAATTCTCCACGCAGCCTGGGGGGTCCCGTAGAAGTCTCCACCTTCTCCTTGCCCCACGGTCCCCTGCTCACTGCACCCAGCCACCAGCCTCGGGCAGCATTTTTAGTACTCTATACCCTTCACCTCCTCCCTCCCCCTCACCAACCTGTGTTCACACTTGAGTTCTCACTCAATTGTCACATCCTGGGGGAAGTCTTTCCTGGCTTCCAGACAAGGTCAAGCCCCATCTTCACAGCCTTTCGAGGCCCCAATTCCTCGCCTTCACAGCACTTATCGTAGCTATGATTTTACATTTATTTGAATGATTATTTGATTCATATCCAGCCTCCCCACCAAACGGTCTCCACGAAGGCAGGACACTGTCCAACCATCCCCTATGGTTAAACAAACGAACAAATGATAAACCTCTGGGGACCCAGCACTGATGACAGCAGTTGCTGCCGCTGCAGGAGCCCAGGCCGGGGACAGAACAGTCGTCAGGTAACAGGCCCTGGTAGAGGGAAACCAGGATGGAGAAGAAAGCCACCGCCCAAAGCCACCGGCCGGCCGAAAGGTCTCCCGGCCTGTCGGCACCAGCTGCAAGGGCGCACGGGGTTGCCCAGTCCCGGTAGACGCCAGGAGGGTCTGTATTCCATCCATGCGGATTAACGACCGGCACCTGCCCCAGGGCCTTGTCCTGGAAGACGGTTAGCTGAGCACCTCCGAGCTGGTCTTGAACCTCCTCTTAGCAGTGGGTCTGGCAGAGCTCCCTAGAGAAGCGAGCTAAGGGGAGTGGGGCCTGTGGCATGTTTCTGGAGGGACCAGGGATGGGACCAGGATAAATCCTGACTATTCCCTGATGGGGGGAGGGGTGCTCCAAAGCCCTACAAACAGCATCATTTACCTCCAGGAACAATGTAAACGGTGCAAAAGGCCAGAGTCCCAGCAGAACCGTCAAGGCGACCTCCACCCCACAGCCCTGACGGAGGCCCTAACACACACCCAGGCAGACGCAACGGCCCATGCCCACAGTCAAACATGGCGGGCGGCCCCATGCACGCTACCGTGGACGCTAAGCTTGGAGGACAGAGGACCTGCCTCCTGCCTCTGTGCCTTTGCACGTGTCGTACC